GGTTGTGGAACCACATGAAGCTGCTGGACTTTGAAGTCCATTCAACTATGACTGAACTGTGTCACAACACCTTCCCTATGGTGACCTTCTGGGGACTGAGACAGACATTCTCAGGCTCTGTGCATTCTGAGACTCTCCCTAAGCTTTTACCCAGGCTGCCACGGTTGTCCTGATGCCAGCAAGATTCATGTGCCCTTCACAGAGCTGAGGAGGACAGGCTCACTCCTCCATTGCATCCTTGTCACTTTTGTAAGGTTGGGATCAAAAGTATTTGCCTGCAGCCCCTGAAACCAGTGAGTGCTCTTAAAGCATGGTTTAAGACCTCAGCAGGTTTTAAGATCTAAATGCTCACAGTTTACCAGCAGCACCAGTGCTCTTACACAGCAACACTTACTTCATCTGATAAAGTCGCTCTTTGTAGAGAGCTCAGAACAAGCACAGCTCTCCCATTTCTCATCCCACTGCCCCAGACCACTGGGGATATTATTCTTCAAGGCTTTTACAAACTTTATCTGGAAGTTACATCCTTTTTACAGAAGAGGGCTCATCTGTTTCTCTGAGGGAGCACAACAGAAGCATGAGCTTCCAGACAGTGATGCCAGCCTCTGGAGGGTGATGACAACTGTTCACACAGACCCCACAGCTGACAAAGCTGTGCTCCTGAGCTCAGCACTGACAGCCCACAACCACAACAGTGAGGATGCTTTGTCCTCATGGCAGCTACAGAAACCCCAGGCTTGCAAAATAGTGTGATTTTGCCTGTTTTGCCTGGTTTCATGTTTGACGTGGATTAAATGTCAATAACTACAGACTAAACCTCTAGTTCAAAATTCTAATTCTGCAAATAAGCAAACAATCATTGATTCCATGTGCCACTGTGGCTGAAAGGGAACCCTTCCTCCCTCTTAATTAACAGCCCTCTTCAAATTCCATCAGTGTTCATGTAAACATCCCATCAAAAAAGCTTATCTCTCCTATATGAATAATTCAAAACCTTTACGTTTATGAGGAAAATCAGTAACAAACTTGCCTGAACAAAAATTATTAGTGTTATTTAGTTGAGTTACAAATACAAGCTATAAGTTGCTATTCAGTAAAAAAATTAATTTGCTTTTTGTATTGTGTCTGAGTGCTCCCTCCAAGCACATCCTTTGAGGCTTCCCATTTCAAAAGGAAAATTTCACACTTATTGCTTTTAGAGCAAAAGTCTGGGCTGGTACTTTTTATATGAGAGAAGGCATTACCCTTTGAAGAGCAAAAGGGACTGTTAAGTAAAAGCTTAACAACCAAAACAGCTTTTTACAGCTACTGCTGTCAAATTTGAAACATTATTTTTAGCTTAGACAGCATGACAGTAACACACCCAGTTATAATTTACACCACAGGTACAGGCTGGCTGGAGAATGGAACAAGACTAGACCTGGGGAGACAGACCTGGGAATGTTTGTGGATGAAAAGCTCAACACGACCTGGCAATTTGTGCTTGCAGTCCAGAAATCCAACTGTGTCCTGGGCTGCATCCAAAGCACCATGGCCAGGACAGCCAGGGAAGGCATTCTGCCCCTCTCCTCTGGTCTCCTCTGACACCCTAGCTGCAGTGCTGCAGCTCTGGGGTCCTCTGCACAGGAGGGACAGGGAACTGCTGGAGCAAGCCCAGAGGAGGCCACCCAGATGCTCAGAGGCCTGGAGCACCTCTCCTGTGAAGACAGGCTGAGAGAGTAGTGGCTGCTCAGCCTAGAGAAGGCTCCAGGAAGACCTTAAAGCCCCCTTCAGTACCTGAAGAGGCCCTACAAGAGCTGCAGAGTGACTTTTCACAAGAGCACTAAGTGACAGGACAAGGGGGAATAGAGTTAAACTAAAGGAGGATAGGTTTAGATGAGATATGAGGAAGAAATTCTTTATGCTGGGGGTGGTGAGGCACTGAAACAGGTTGCCCAGAAGCTGTGGACTCCCCATCCCTGGAAATCCTCAAGACCAGGCTGGATGGGGCTCTGAGCAACCTGGTCTGGTGAAAGGTTTCCTGACAGGGACAGGGAAGACAGAATGGGATGATCTTTAAGGTTCCTTTCTACACAAACCATTCAGTGATTCTATGAAGAATTCATCATCTCTAAAGGTTTTAAGGGAGATTGTTCAGACTCGTTTTGTATCTTCTGCAGTATGTAGTGCAGAACTATCACCATGCATTTCATTCTCAAGTGAAATACAAAGAAAATACTAAAGTTAAGAACCAAAACATCACCTAAAAAACAATGATTATATAGAACAAACTTAATTTAGTTCACCCCATAGAGAAATTTTAGCTTATTTTATTTTGCTTACTGAATGTTCATTCACCTAGAAGATGAAAAACTCTTGAGAAGGCTTTATCCTCAGTTGTGTAAACATTCTTGAATGCAATATGTATTTAAGGGCTCATAAAATAGAAAGAGGGGATGTCTATAGTAAGTAACCATTCTTGGTTACTTTTCCAAAGTAAGTGAAATTTTCAAATTCAGGAATAATTTTCTTTAAAAGCAAAACAAACAAACCAACCAAAGAAAAACCCTATAAAAATCCCCTCAAACACCACAAAGTCCAACAAAACTAAAAAAAAAACCCAAACCAAAGTCAACAAAAAAAAAAAACCCCACTAAAAACAAAATTAAATGGCTTGCAAGTATAACTAACTTAATTTTTATTTTCAATGGGCAGTGTCAGCTGCAGAGAAAAAAATCCTTTGGACAACATCTTTAAGTTTGTCTTCCCTTTTCTTTCTGTCAGATGTGGAAAAGCATGCATCATCATTATGATTAATGCTATTTTTGTCATACACAAAGGGTGTGAACCATGGTGTACAAAGGAGCACTCTGAAGTTTTAAAGCTCCCCACTCTGCCATGACTCATGTACACAGAATATACAGGCCATGAATCTTTGGCACATATCTTCATGGAGTACACAGTAATCTACCTCCCCCATGTCTTACACCAAATAGCAATCTAGTCCTAAAAGAAAATAAAAAATTTAAAAATAAGAAAAATCAATACTTATGAAAACCCAATAAAGGAAAAAAAAAAGTGCAAACTTGAACTCCTTTCCCTCCTTTTTGTTAATTTGAAAAAAATTGTATGGTCTCCATTAGAAAGGATATGTTCCTATTGGTATTTGTGCTAGAGGCAGGAGTCTGAGAGCTGATCCAATGCAGCTCAAAATTCCCTCTGAGCACAGACAGCTCTTCAGCCTGGCTGTGTGAAAAGCTGACAGCTACCAACAGAGCACCAGAGTGATTGGGCTGGCACACACCCATCTGCTCGCGCTTCCCCTGACCCTGATGATAGGGGTGCAGGGTGGAAGGCATGGGAGGATCAACCCAATACAAAGCTGGACTGATGGGGTCTTTCTTCATAGGGAGCCTGCAGCAACGTTCAAATCCACATCCCAAGTGGCAAAACAAAACTCATCTTCACAGGGGATGTTTCTGCTACCCACATGACTGTGGGGGTTTTAAATTTTTTTTCTCTTTCCTTTTGAAAACCCATCTCCATGTGTAACCAACTAACATCCCGTGTCCCAGTTTAATTCACTGTAATTGTTATCTGTGTTGACTAGGTTGCCTTCCTTACTGAAGTGCTGTGAGCAGTACAGTCACAAGAGAGCCTGCTGCTCCAGCACAGACAACCAAAGGGATATTTTGCAAGCGAAACGAGAAAACCCTCTTCAGGGCATGTCAGGGAAAGAGGGCATCCTATAGGCACTATGAGGCAGCCACAGGTGGAACAGAATCCTTAAAGTTCAACAGAAACAGTAGTTTCAATCACTACCACTGTCTTCACAATTCACTGATGTAAGCAGATATTTTTCTCCCTTTCATGCAAAGAATAGTAATTTTTCCTCTTATCCATGTGTGACTTTATACAAAACATGAGACTGTGATAGTTTCTTTAACAGATGGGAAATGGTGCAATGGTGCTCTTCAAAAAGCATAAAGCTGTTACAGGTATTTTTCTAGGTAATTCTCTGGCTAAATTTCCTTTTTAAGATTTCCTCTTGTACTCTGAACATCCAAACTTACATAAGGCAGGAGGACATGCAAAAACTGCCAGCTTTTCCCTTGGAGAAATGGGTTTTTTAAAGAAGTTTTAAAAAAATAGTTTTAAAAGAAAGTGAAGTATCTTACTCTGAAAAGTGCACTTTTCCTTGATGAAAATAGGAGTGATCTGAAAATGGACATAATCTTCCCTCTGTGATCAACACAGCAAAGATGAAACACCAGAAATACTTACAATTCCTAAGGCAAGTTTCTTCTACATCTGCTTTAGGCTATTTTGGCTGTAGCATTTATATACTCTAATTATTTTGTGCATTAAATACCATAAATATCCCTGTTGATTTTTGATCTATTTGTGGGTTCCAACATACAGCTGTATTTCATTTGGCTGAGAGGACATTCTGCAAGTAGGACTTGTACACCAATGCATTTCAGGGACAATCATTATTATTTATGGATAAACCAGTGATGCTAACAGCTTTTCCCTATGTTATCGTTCAATTTTATATCTGTGTACCTACACCAAAGCATAGCTCTATGGGACAGAGGAAGAAAATGTACTTACGATTTACTTTGAAAGCAAGTGAACAATCACTTAGCTTCATGTGGCAGGAACTTTGCAGTCCATTTGCAACACAAAAAATAGCTTTGTAAGCAAAAAAAATCCTAGCAATTTCTTCAGAGACACCAGATCTTTCTCCAAGACAATACACTAAATTAAGAGAAGTATTTTCTCTCTGTTTATGAGTAAGCTCCCTCCCCAAATTAGCTTAACCTACTGTACATGTAGCACAACATTAAGTATTTCTCCCTTTTGTGCATGTATCTGGGGTTCTATTGGTAGCTGCCATCTGCAAAAGGTATTTTATTTGACTGGCATGCACAGAATACATGAGGAAGAGAAGAAGAGTTAGTAGCAGAGAGTAAGTTACACATCTCAGAAAGACAATCATGCAGCTGACATCCACCTACCTGTACTAGTGCGATATGTGCCTGTGTGTGCTGGTTGCAGAGGGTCCCCCTGGCTCTGGCTGAGACTCCTCATAGGGGGCTTCTGATAAACTCTGTCTTCGTAAATAGGATCTATGTGGTGCTCTGGAGACTGCAGTGCCCTTAATTCCGAGCCAAGGTGGCTGTGCTGGCTGCTGTAAGATGCCCGAGACCCAGCTGCAAACAGATTTATGAGAGGCGTTTAAGAGGGAGAAAACAAGAGACAAATACAGGATCTGACTGATAAAATTTTACTTTAAAGTAGCATTTAAACACAAAAAAATGCCCAAAGCTAAGTAGTAAGTGTTTTCAACATGCAAATAGAAATAGCAAGCAAGGGCAGCTACAGCTCCACTTAAACCCTTTAGCTGCATCATTCAGCTGCCTGCATCTACACAAAAATCCCATTTCTTCCAAGGAAACTACATATTTTGGTGAGATCGATACCATGATTATCATCTCTTCTTAAACAGAGACCAAAGAACCCACCACCTCCTCTCAAAAAAAATAAGAAAAACGCCAACTCTCCCACTTCCAAAACACAAAAAAATCCCCAAAACAAACTAAACCCAAACCAATCCCCCACTCCCTCATTAAAAAAAAAAGAAAAACCCAAACAAGCAAAACCAAACAAACAAGAAAAGGCAAAAGCTGTACAACCTAGGAATGCCCTCAACTAAACGGGTCCAGGACTGGGGGAGGTAGGAGGGTTGGGGAGAAAAAAGCAGCAGCAGGCAGAACGAGTTTCACATGTTATGCCCATATCTGAAGATCTACAAATAAAATAAGCCGGAGTTGATGAATGGATGTAGATTTACATGAAGGCTGATCTTTCAAATGCTTCTCAAAATCACAAGAGAACGGTTGTGCCTTATCAACATTTTGTCTTTGACACTGAAAAAAAATCAAGTTGCTAAGACTTTCTACAACTTAAATATCCTCTGAGGATTAATAAATTAAACACACCTCCTGAAAAAACCATTTTAAGGATATAGCTTATTTTTTTTGCAAATAACAAGATCAAATGCGATTTTAATAAAACATCTTATTCTACTATTAAAACCAGATTATATTAGAACATTTAAAAAAGAGACTTGTATATTTCCAGCCGTGATTGAAGTTGTCACTTCAATCCTTTTGCCACTCAGGTACCTCAGCTCTATGGTCTGTTATGAAGATTGGCAAGAAGGGTCATGGGGATGCTGTACAAACATTAGACATTTTGAAGGTAAGAATAAAGTAAAGTAGGCAATAAGCATGCAAGTGACACTTTGCAAATGTCAAATCTATACCACAAAGTGGCAACATGCTACTTCAGTGTTTAGGAAAGCAATCACAGATACAACTATTCTGGCCCTTGCTGCTAGTTCTGTGAAGTTGAAATCCTGGATGTAGGTGATGTTCCACTGGCTGAGCTTGTACTGCTCACACCACGGGTGTAGCTATTCCTGCTGAAAGCCTCTGCCACAATCATTGTGCTTGCAGTGGTTTTGTTGCATAAACAGACACTAAATACCTCTAAAATGCAAAGCACAGATATAAAGTAAGATGAGATAGCAACACAGGATGGAAATGAGAAATATACACTGACACAACATTACTTAAACTTTAATACAAATTGTCTGGAGAAAAGAATAATTTATTCCCTTTCCTTCTTCTAATCAGCTTGTGCCATATATGTGTTTTCTTCCGAATTTTTCAACTTTTGTGCATGTTTTTAGTGGAATGCCCTATTTGCATATTTTCCCCTTCAAACATTTTTCAGTCTGAATTGCCATTAGCACACTGCTGAAAGTAATTCTGTTGCTCCCCTTACTAGAAAGTCTGCTAAGAGTACCAAATATTTTATCTATAACTACAGCAATTATCCAGAAAGTTGATATTACTATTACAGAATTAAATTCTTCATGGTCTACATTTTCAAAGTGCTCTTTAGCCCCGCACCCTTGAGACAGATTTTCAGAGCAGCTGAACTGCTCCCACCAAGGTCTAGTATCCTTCAGAGTGGCCTGAAAAACAGCCTGTTGTGATTATGTCCAAATTTCAGTGCATATTTGGCTCAATCTGCATCTAAGGCAAAAATACAGAAAAATTGAGAACATTTCAGACATTTAACAGTATATCAACAAATCAGACTTGCGATAGAATAAAGAATTACAACCCCATTCTAGAAGCATTACAATTCTTTTGCCAACATACAAGTTAACAGTGGTTTTCAAACAACAGATTTTCTTTCTAACTCAGCTTCCTGTAAGCCAAAAGATTTTTCCCACTGAACTCAGTAGCAGTATAATCCAGATATCAGCATGTTTCCAAACTGTTATGGTAATCTTCTGGTGAGGTGGGCTTAATTCAACCTCCTTCATACTCTATCAATAGTTCTGCACTTACAAGTGCTGATACTAGTCTAAATAGAAGCTTAATATTAGTTTATTATGCTAATATTGAACAGAGATTTATTTGCAAATTATACATGTAATTAAGACTTTACTAAACAGTAAGCACATGTATAACCAGAGAAACTTCTTGACCAAAACATTTAATCAACCTGTTTTGACTGAAAACAGTTAAGTGGCAATCTAAAAACAACTTCAAAGCATCTGAGTAACACATTATGACTGAACATCCCTCCCAAGAAGGTCAAGAGTTAAAACCCTATCAGTGAGTAACTGCCACTATCCCTCTAACACTTTAGAAAAATGAAGATTTCAACATGTAACCAAAATATTTTCATTTTAGAAACTAAACTACTCTCAAATCTCAGAAATTAAGGCCATTTTAAAATCATGTCTCTTAAACACCTTAAGTTTTAAGCAAAAATGATACTTTTCTATATGCAATTTTACTACACTATTTCCAAATTATCAGGTATCAATATTTAAACACAAAATACTACTACCCTTTAAGGTTCTTAAATCTAGCTAAAAAGACAATAAATCAGAAGATTTAAAAAGAGATGTAACACCATCATAGTTTTTAATGTTTCTATTAAGTAGGTATATAAAAAACTACAACAGCAAGTTGATTTAAGTTAAAATTTCCTTTCAGTTGCTCCTAGAAGTTTTTCTATGTATTAATTTATTAAAGTCTCAACTAAGGAGCAACATTTTTTTATTGCATATTTAATTTAAATATTAAAATCAACTAACTAGTAGCTGTTATATCAAGTTATATCCAGGAAAGGTCACACAGATAACTTAGGGATTTCAGACAATTGAATCCCACCTCATGTACACACTCAACCCTGCACCATATTCTGCTGCTTTGGAAGGCACTGGAGGGACAGTTGAGATGACTGATCAAAACAAGGACCATGAACTCAAAGAACTGATGTCACTGAGAAGGAGAGGTGGAATGGGGCTCCTGCCTGTATCCTGGGTTAGCAGCCAACAGCTACATCCTTTCCTATTCAAAACTGCAAGCTGATCTGTACCACTGCCTTCAAAAACTCTTGCATTAAAGCAGTTTGAAGCTCACAGAGGCTGGAAAAGCAACCAGATCAGAATGGAAAAACAGCAACCAATATACTACCAGGAAGCAATAGAAGATAAGGTCAGCAAGGCCCACGAGCAGTCTCGCATTAAGGAAGCTCAGCACCCTCAAAAGCAGTTTCCCTAAACGTAGAGGCATCATGAATGCATGGCTCCTCTGAGACTGCCCTCACTAAACCCTCTTATCCAGCTGCCAGCCCTTCTCCCCTGCACTAATAGCACTGCACCTCTCTGGGTGCCTGAAATCAAAGCAGTGATGTGCAGCAAGGCCACACACCTTTCTCCTACATAATCTGAGAATGGACTCAGCCCCACTCCCTGGCCAGCCTGCCCTAACAGCAATGCTGGTTTTATTTCAGAGATGTAATCAGGCATCAAGCCCATTCACAGACAGGTCTATGCTCAAGTTCAAAGAAGACTCATTATTAAACTTTCAGTCCTGCTAGTTGTTATTTACAGATGATGTATCCAGCATCAGCGCATAGCCAGAACTCTCATGATCATGATGGTCAAAAAGTGGGGTAGTAGATTAATTTAAAAAGCCCAAACAAACCAAACCAATCCAAAACCACTGAGAAGAACTAAACCATTATTTAGGTGTTCAATAAACCATCCATTAATCAATCATTCCAATAGTGCAGTGTTGTTTGACAAATGCATCTGTGGCATCACAGCAGAAGGTATATAGAAGACTATACAGCTTTAAAATAGCTGTGAGAGGCACAAAATTAAGAAAAAAAAATTAATATATTTTTTAGAACAGAAACTGATTAACTATTTGAACCAAAGCATATGGTAAGAAGAGTCTTCCGAAGCTTCCAAGACTGAAACCTGAAAGCAAGTGGAACATCCTATCTTCTGCATCACTGTGGAGCTTTTACAAGTCATCTGTGGCAAGGTTCCACTGGGGTATCACATGAGCCCCTAGTCAGGTGAACTGGATTAGGGCAACAAGGATAACCTAGAACTGTCCAGATGAAAATACATATTCCTACATGTGGTGTTTCCTCTCTTCCCACATTCAAGAGGAGCAATATGAAAAGTGCAGTCCTACCAAATTGGATCAAAAAGTTTATCTCCACTCTTCACACCTGAAAAATACCCACCCTACTAGCTAAATTTTTCCACATTAGTTTGATACATTCCTCCGCAGCATAGGGAAATAGTTGTTTCCTAGGAAATGCTCTTTTTTGACAAAGTCTCACTTCCCACAAGAAGATAAATACTGTAATCAGACAAGTGTAACATGAGAGATATACACCAAATAATCCCTAATTGCTCTTCATAGCTGGTGCGGGCTGTCAAGAAAACAAATACAACAGATACATTTGAATGACACTGCTGATCTGACAGTTCAGGTCAATAAAGTAAACCGATATATTGCATTTGTCATTGCAAGAAACTAAAGACATTAAAATTACTGAAATTAACGGATCACGGGCATTGCATATGCTCTAACAAATCTTGAACAGTTTTTATTTGTGCCTCTTTGGAAAGGCTTTATAACCTATCATCTACCTTGCTACACCTTTAAGAAGAAGCCCTACAAAGTCATAATGCTCTCTAAACATCTCTAATAGCAAGAGCATACAGTACTGTCCTCCTGTCCGGGATTTAAGAGCTCCTTGGAAACACAAAATATGAAAGTGATAATCTCAATGTTAAAAAACCCATTCAGATTTGACC